GCCATCTGCACTCCCCCTTCTGGGGATCAAGCCCAAAACCCCGGCACGTGCCCTGACTGGGAATCCAACTGCCAACCTTTCGGTGCATGGGATGACACCCAACCAAAGGAGTCACACCAGCCAGGGCAAAAGAATATTTTCTGAAGTAAATATATAGTGGTTAAGAGAATATTCAGCCCAGCTGGTGTGGCTCAATGGATTGTGCCTTGTCCCATGGACTGAGAGGTCCTGGTTCCATTCCCAGTCAGGGCACATGCCCGGGTTTTGGGCTTGATCCCCAGTAGGGGGCGTGCAGGAGGCAGCCAGTTGATGTTTCACTCTCACATCGATGTTTCTATCTCCCTGCCTCTCCCATCTAAAAAATCTCTCTTTTTTTTAAAAGAGAATATTCAGGATAGTTTTGGGAAATAAAGGGCACAGAAAATAAGGATTCAGAGACTGACAGATTTTCTTAAGATTTTCAAAGTAGAAATGCAAAAGAGAACCTTACCCAAGCGATGGAGACAAACTTAAACGGGTATGGTAGGAGACCAAATTGCTTTTTATTTTTTTATTTTTTTATTTTGTGTTTTGGTACATGCCCCTAGCGGGAACCGGACCCGGGACTCTCTGGTCCGCAGGCTGACGCTCTAACCGCTGAGCCAAACCAGCCAGGGCCCAAATTGCTTTTTATAAATACAGTATAATGAATAATAGAAAGTATAATTGGTGTAAGTAGCATAGGAATACAGAAAGAAAAAAAACCTGAAAACCAACTAGAATCGTGCGTGTAAATAGGCTCTGAGAAACCTGATTATGTAAGATGTTGTTATATAAGCTCTGTGCTATTCTTGGAATACATTATCCACCAGTGTGGTGGCAGCACTTCCAAAGGTTCTCCAAGTGAGTTCCTTTTTAGTTTGTTCTGTGTTTAAATTCTAAAGTCAAACCATGGTTTTTGTTTCAGATAATATTTTATAAAAATGGTGTCAATCAAGGTGTGGCTTACAAAGATATTTTTGAGGGCGTTTACTTTCCAGCCATCTCACTGTACAAGAGCTGCACGGTATGTACCATCTGTTCACCCTGTGAGCAGAACTGGAGAGAAACAGGCGAATGGCGATGAAGAAAGAGCCGTTGGCTGAGTTCTAAAAAGAAATCTGAGTAGCTTAAGTGAGACGAGACAGGAATGTTTTCCAACTGTCACTGTTTGTTCCAAAAACAGTTGGGTGTGTTAGGAAGTATTTGCTTGGATCGTGTAGTTAGTGTACAGTCGTCTCTTGTTTATCGCGGTTAATCCGTTCCAGACTCTAGTGGTTGCACCTGGCATTAAAGGAGGCCTGGAGTGCTCGAATCCATAGGCCTACAGTCCATACGTACAGTCATTTTAATTTTAATTGTAATACAGGGGTTTATAATTGACTCAGACAACTGAGCACACGCTGTATCATTTACACTGTCTCAATCAACTTTTTAATGAATATATTTGAAAAAACCACGATAGAGTGAAGCTGCGAAAGTCGAAGCACGAAGTGGCGAGGGACAACTGTACATCACACTTGTCCTTTGAATATACTGTGGTAATGTTACTGTTCAGTGTAAAGTCTATAAAGTGTGCATAAGTCAACTTGGTGTTATATGTCATGATAACCCACCATCATTAGTTTGTAACTGTTGCTTATATTGATATATATGATTCAGTATGAAAAGGTCAGCCTTTTAATTTTTTTTTTTTTAGTGATTTGAAAAGGTAATGCTTGGAAGTTCCCATGTACTTTTAATGTGTTGATTAGGCACGATGGAAGTAAAATAAGGAAATCTTTAGGTTACAAACAAATCAACATATTTATTTTATTTACCTAATTGTTAAAAATATGTTTTTAACTGATTTAAAGAGAGAGAGAGGATGGGAGAGAGAGAGAAACATTGATCGGCTGCCTCCTGCTTACCCCCTACTGGGGATTGAGCTCGCAACCTGGGCATGTGACCTGACCAGGAATCGAATGGGGACCTCTCAGTCCACGGAACAGCCTTCAGTCCACTGAGCCACACCACTGGGCACTATTTATCTAATTGTTGGACATTAAGGTGTTGGCCCCTTTTAGCAATATTAATATATATCATTGCCCAGCAGTTGTGACTCAGTGGTTGAGCGTTGACCCACGCACCATGAGGTCGCTGGTTCGATTCCCAGTCAGGGCACATGTCCAGGTTGTGGGCCTGTCCCCAGTGGGGGGCATGCAGGAGGTGGCCAGTCAGTGTTCTCTCTCATGGATGTTTCTATCTCTCTCTCCCTCTCCCTTTCCCTTTCCCTCTCTCTAAAGCAATAAAGAAAAAAACATTTAAAATATGTGTGTGTGTGTGTGTGTGTGTGTGTGTGTGTGTGTGTGTGTGTGTCATTGTTCCAGTTATACCCTGAATGTCACAGCTATCTTTAAAAAGAAAAATTTTCCATGTTTCATGAACTTTTCACTATATTTTTATTTTGTTTTGTCATGTCTGCTTGAATTGAATTTATTCCAGGTTTCCATTAACTTTGGACCATGCTTCAAGTATCCTCCAAAGGATCTCACTTACCGCCCTGTGAGTAACATTAAAATGTCCACATGCATCCTCAGCCTCTTTGAAAACTTGTTGCTGTAGTTACTTGAATCACTCATTTCTGTTTCTCATTCCTCCGCAGATGAGTGACATGGGCTGGGGCGCTGTGGTAGAGCACACCCTGGCCGATGTCCTCTATCATGTGGAAACAGAAGTGGATGGGAGGCGGAGTCCCCCGTGGGAGCCCTGACCAGGCTCCTCTTTCTTTGCAGACACGGACTTTCTGGGAATAATATTGGGTTTTCTTTTTGTTTTTTAACTGTTGCGAATGTTATCCCAAATATCCTGCAGAACATAGCCTGTGCTGTTAGCAAGCTAAAAGTCTGGGTGGGACCGGGAGACTCCCTGCCTTCAGTACTGTCCCTGCTTCTGATGACTGCTTCCATGTTGTGTGCTGTGTGCCAACAAATCCCACAAGCTCCCTGTGAAACTGGTGCTGTACCCCGTACCCCATCACCAGGACTTGTTATCTTACTGTGGAGAACACCGTCCAAGTAGCTAACTTATTTAAAGACTTTTTTTCCTGTGGGCACTGACTTCATCCCACCTGATCTGCAAGGAAGTGATGGGCCTGTTACTGAGAACAGCTGAAATCAATGGTGTACATACCAAACTGATCTAAGAGCTTGCCTTTGGTGTGGGTTTGCTTTTGTTATTGATTTTGAAATATACTTTTGAACACTGAGATCTCTGAAACTACCCTATCTCTACAGCTGTAGTTGTGAAAGGAACTCACTTGCAGCTTTAACAATTAGAAACTCGTCCCAAATAAAACTTGTGATCAAGTGTGTGCGGCACTTTGCTTCCCTCTTGGTGACAGTGTCCAAAATGTGGGCAATCTGAGGAAGGGTAGCCAGCATTGGAGGAAAGAGACAGGCTTCTGGCTTGTATATCAACCTTTCTCCTATTGCTCCCTTTTCTCCAGCCAACTCAACCACCCCTTTAATCCTGTGGAAATCAGATTCTCAGGAGATGAAGAGTAAAGGGTTAGTGGTCTCCCTCCACTTCTCCTTGAACATGTGTATTAACATGTACAGGTTGTCTTCCTGCCTTGCTTCTCTGTGTATAGCTGATGATTAAAGGACAGTTTTCAGAAACTAAAAATTAGAATGTAAGAAGGAGCCTGGGGGTGCCCCTTTTTTTTTAATCCTCACCCAAGGATATTTTTGTATTTATCTTCAGATAGAGTGGGAGGGAGAGAGAGAGAAACACCGATATGAGAGGGACACATAGACTGGTTGCCTCCCACACAACCCCAACCAGGGCTGGGGATGAACCGCAATCGAGGTATATGCCCTTGACCAGAATCAAACCTGCGGCTTATTGGTCCGCAGTCTGATGCTCTACCACTGAGCCAAACCAGCCAGGGCTCCCCTTTTTTTAATCCTCACCCAAGGATATTTTTTCCATTGATTCTTAGAGTGGGAGGGAGGGAGGGAGGTAGAGAAACATCAGTGTGAGAAAGCCATTGATTGGTTGCCTCCTGCATGGCCTTGATGGGGGCCAGGGAGTGAGCCTGGGACTGAAATGCATGCCCTTGACCAGGAATTGAGCCCAAGACTCCAGTCCTTGGGCTGATGCTCTGACTGCTGAGCCAAACCAGCTGGGGCCCATCTCCCTTTTTTATACATCAGTGGCAATGCCGCCCTCCCAGGATGACCCCAACCACCCCCCTACATATAAATTTCTACCTGCATTAGCAGGTAGAATGGTTCAGCAGGAGGTAAGTATATGGTGCCAAGAATCACCATATATTATGCCAAAATTTCACATGACTGTTGGTATCTTAACACAGTGGCTTTGACGAATATTTTTGTGAAATATGTTAGTTTAGGTCACTCCATGTCTCAACAGGAAACCTGACACTGAATCAGTATGATCTTAGGCCGGGTCTCAGCCTGTCACCCCTGGGTACCTGTTCATTCATGGCTGCTCTTAAAGGACAGACATGGTTATAAAGTTTCCGGATCATCAGAATTTGAAGAACTTTTAAGATAATGAGGATGGTGTTATTTATAGGAAGCTAGAGATAAATCCTTTGTAATATAAATTACCAAAAATATAATTATGTAAAATATAAATTATAAAGTATAAACTTAATTACCACATGTACAACCCACTCTCTTCTTTTTTTGTTAATCTTCACCCAACAATCTTTTTCCATTGTTTTGTTTTTAGATAGAGCGGGAGGGAAGGAGGGAGAGAGAGAAACATCAATATGTCCACATTGATTGATTGCCTACCACACGATCCTGACCAGGGCCGGGGTTCAAATATGAAACTCAGGTGTATGCCCTTGACCAGGAATCAAACCTGAGACCCTTGGGTCCACAGGCCGACAATGACCACTGAGAAACCAGTTAGGGCCTACTGGTTTTTTAACTGATAAAATAGATTTTATCATTGGGCTTTTGTAAATCAGAGATAACAGGAATAATGATTTTGTCTGTTTATACTTCATATTCAAAATGTGTGTGTATTGATAAGGTTCATTTGAAGGGCTCAAAGAATACCCACTCTGCACAGTCCTGTATAAAATGGTTTCTGCAAACAGATCATCACAACTTACTTTATTCCAGTGTAAAGTTAAACAAGTGGGAGAAAACCTTCCCTCATCTCAAAGACATGGTTGCATAGTTTGAAGACAAGTTATAAGCCAGCTCAAAACCATGTTGTGTGTTGAAAGCCAATCTCTTTACCATTGTCCTGTTCTCTGGAAACCAGAGTATATCTTGCTCTATATATCTTCAAACAAATAATAATTTTCTCTTCGCTGGGAATAAATAGTAATTCTGTTCTAGGAAAATACTTCTACACTATCCCCTCTGACTCTGGAGGTCTTGGACAGATAAGCAGTAATTTTATCTATGCTAAAAATAGACTAAGAAACAATCAGAATAAATAATAATAAATACTTATATTATACAATTGTAATACCTCAATAAATACCAGAATTTCTGCTACTGCTAATTTGTTTAATAAATAAGATAGAACTCTATATTTCCAAATAGTATAAATCGTCAATGTTATTAGCACTAGAATGGGAAAGCTTCAAGTGGTATAAATTCTAGCAAAGTAATTCACCCCAGTTTATATTTTTAAAGCATAAATTCTCTGAATCTTGGAAAGAATTCGCTATCACCATTCTACCCCTTCTTCCAGCCACCTCTCAAAATAGTAAAATATTGACCTACTGAAGCAGAGAAATGTGCATCCCTGAGCCAAGCTGAGAGCTGATCCAATAGACTGAAGTCAAGAGTCGGTTGCCTTGTTAGGTCTGCACAGTCACTAATGAGGGAAAAAATTGTTTTTAACTTTATCTTAGTAATACTGTTCACTCACTGATATTTGGCACTATCCTCCCTTTTTTATTGAATTTATTGGGGTGACTGGTTAATAAAATTATATAGGTGTCAGGTGTACAGTTCTAGACTACATAATCTGTATGCTGTGTGTTCACTACCCCGTCGTAGTATCCTTCCCTTTCATTAAAATAAATATCTTCAGTCATAATCGTCACCTTCCAATGCCCATTAATCAGCTACCAGTTATAGTTCTCATAAGATTTAGGCTTGTGCTTATCATGGAAATTAAATTTTGATGAAAATTTCTGACTACAGATTCTAAATAATTGAATGACAAGTCCCCAGTAGATTTTATTTGTTCTTAACAAGCTAGGTGGGGGTAAATTTAAGACTTTTGTCTAGGACTCCTTTAGTATGAAGTTGCAGTTGACTCAAGTAGATTTCTTAGGGGGAGAATTTTTAAAACAGGTACAGACTGAAGTTTTTGTATTAATTATGACTCTTTATTCTGACTGGTGCTCATGGAAGAAGGAGGGAAACCTAATAATGAGTTTTGTATTGTTTGGTCAAGAAAACTTGAACTAGGTCTCTGGAAGGCCCTGCTGTGGGCTTCGCCGGCACTTGGTGCGGCTCTGCTTGCTTGGAGATGCAGAGTTGCTGGAGCCCTTGCCAGTCCCTGCTGTGCCCACCCACACTGCCTACAGGGAATGGCGCTCCTGAACCCATAAAGCATGAGGTCCCAGTTCTCGTGTTTAGCACCCTCTCTCAGCTAGTAGCATTTTAAGGTGTTTTTAGGTAGACATGTAAGGGCCAGGAAAAAGTTTTACAGATATTTTGAGACCCTTAACCTTCACTTCACAGCTAATCAGTGAATGAAGTTAGAAGACTTGTCCTCTTTATATAAGAGACCCGTCCCTATTTTCTTGGTACTAAAATGTTACCAATATGAGCCCTAGTATCATAACGTAAATACATTGCCACCCAACCCACCGTCCCCGGATGAAGATCTCAGACTCGCAGGCTCCTGGGAGGGATTTTCCTGATGAGCACACAAGCCAATGCAGCTAGAACAGCTGGAAGCAGAGGTTGGTCTTCAACATCTGGCCTCAGGAGCAGGACTGGACTCCAGGCGCTTGCGCAGGTGGTTGGCAAAGTCTACCTGGGTCTGTGATAGGACTTGGTTGATGATAGTCTTTGGCAGCCATCCCTGGAGTAGGAGATAGAAGAATTTGACCATCTTGTGGGTGGTGGTCTACTCTAGATACCTCTGGACCCTATCACAAATGTTATGGGTTGGTTTGGTCTTAGTCTTCTAGCTCTGTTTATAGGCGCAACCCTGTCGTTGACCAGGGTCAAGGGCTTGAGGACTGCATTGCTGCCCTGCTGTTGTGAAACTCAGAAGCACAGGATTTGCTCTCAAGACGAATTCAGACCTGTCTTCCAGCTGTGTGACCCTGAGCTAGTGAACACACCTTTCTGGGCCTAGGTTTCCTTCTTTCTAAATAACTAGAGTTGAAATTTGATATGAGGGATAAGAGGGATCCATTGCACACGTTTGAGAGATGGTGGAATATCAAGCCATTACTCAAATCTCCAACAATCTGATTCTCTCAAAGTGGAAGGACTTTTCCTATTCCGTGTGGGATAATGTGGGAGTGATAAGAACCTATTTTCCTCTCACCACCTTCCCACTGTGCCACCTCCCGTGCCCCTCACCTTGAGGTCAATGCTGAGCAGCCAAGTGAGTTTGGTCTTTGAGGGACTCCCAGCCACAGGATGGAGCACCATGCAAGTGGGGCCATGCTCAGCTCTGGCAATTGAAGAGACGTCAAGTCAGGAGGGAAGTTCAGGGTTCTCTTAGCGAGTTAGGCTAGCTCACTTCTCGAGTGCTTTGTCTTTCCAGATCTCATCAGAGCACCTTCACTGGGTGATGTTCAACAGTTGGCATGGTTACCAGCTTATCAGAACAAAGGCTGATTAGAACTGGAGCCGGAATCTGAAGACTTCCTGTGGTGCCTTTTGGTTGCTGGATGTCAGGGAGATTAGAAAAAGGGTCTAGGGTGGTGGCTGGGGTCCCTGAGGAACTCAGCAGCTGTGTTCTAAGTGGTGTGGATTATATTTTGATCACTAGGACAGCTGTACCTGAGCATACCAGCCAAACCTCAGCTCTACCTCTTGCTTCCAAAAATGTTTAAGGTGCTCCTTAAACTTTCAGGGAGGGTTAGGACAAACTGGCTGTATAAGTAGGGCCAATCTTGTCTTCCTTCCCTGCTACAGAAAATGAAAACCTTCCTTTGTAAAAAGAAGCTGAGAGTAGGGGCCAAGGATTGGTTTTTTGGAGCTTGGGATTCATCACACACTTGGCCCCCAGGCCTGTGTTAGGAAAGGAAGCTTTCGAGCCCACTGCCAGTATTACCTGATGACACCTTTCTGCTCGGGCATCTCCCCGAACTGTGTGGCCATGCCAGCCAGCACACAGGTGGAGCCTCGGCGCTTGGCACAGCGCACACTCACAAAGTCACGGGGCCCCACAAGGTTTCCTCCTGATTCTGCAGCCAGCTCATGGGTGATCACTGTGTCTTTCCCAATCTTCTGCAGGACCTGCCAGGCCACAGGGAACCAGAATTACTACTTAGCCAGTGCTGGATGTAAGGCACCACCACCCACACCTTTGGCCGCTATTTGAACCGGGCTCTCCCAGGTCCCTGTTACTTACACCTGGGTTCTCCTCACCTTGATCCCCTTGACATTCGGGTTCCACTCTCCCATTGCCTCCATGCGTTCCACAAGCTCTTCATAAAGTCTCTCCATGGGTTGGTCCACCACCACCTCCAGTCGGAATACCTTGCCCACGTCTGGGACCACTTTACTCAGCACTTTGTCCCCATTGGCCTGTCAGGGAGAGAAAGGAGCCCCAGGATAAGGTTAGAGGATACTGTTCCTAGCCTAGTAGGGCACATAGACAGTGCCAGGCAAGGCAGGAAGGGGATAGTGAAAAGGACGAATCAGGTAACCTGGAACTTTCTGAGTAGTAGAGTAGGTGATCTTTCCTGTCACAAGCCTTGTACATGTGCTGAAGACCAGAGGTGACCTGCCTGCTCCCTGGGCCCTTTTTTCTTTGTGGCAGATATTGATGGGCATGGGCAGACCCAACTGAAAAGAACCTTACTTGACTTCAGAAGCTCAAAGATCCTGGGAGAGAGAAATCTGGGAGTGGGAAAAGTCTGGTCTACCACCAACTCATTACACACAAAGATGTTGGATGGGATCTGAAAGTATTTCTTTAATCTAGTACCTCATCCGAGAAAGATGTAGAGCCAGCAACGGTTTACCCAGAGACCTTTAGCCAAGAGCAGTGCTGGGCCTAAATCCCAGATTTCTTGACTCCCAATATAGAGGTCTGGTAACTTGGAGAAGGACTTTGAACTTTGAAACCTGAACTTTGGGCAACGGACAGCATATAAGCTTTTGGGGAAGATAAAACCAAAGCCTCAATGGAGCCACCAGCCTTCAACGTGCCTTGTTACTGGCTCCCAGTGAAGGAGCTGCGCTCGGGAACAGAGAGCCCAGAAGGCTTGGGCCATATATGTCCTAGTCCAGCCCAGCTGCAGTGGGCCCAGATCACCCCTGCAAGCTCAGCCGTAAGGCAGGCCAAACAGCAGACACTTCCTGGCACTGGAACTTCTAGCCCAGTGTGGTCTCTGCTGAATAGGTGTCCAGTGTATTTGGAGGGGAGGTAAGGATGCAGGACCGATGTTTCTCAAGTGTGAGTCTACAGGATGTCTTTGAAGGGGCAAGGGAGTATTTGAGGATATACTCTTGGGAAAGGAGGATTCTCTAAACTGCTTCTTGCCCAGTGACTACTGCACAAGGCAGGAATTCTGAGAAGAGGAGGGACCCCCAGCTGGTCTTGAGGATGGCAGTGGAATGGTAAGAAACCATTCCTCCACACCCTGCCTCACCTGCTGGTTCTCCTTCTTCCAGCCCTCCTGGCTGCTGAGGATGCCCAGGGCCTTCTGCATGGCCTCCTCTCCCTGGTGGATGTAGGCCAGCTCCTGGTCGCTGTAGAGAGTGTCTTCCAGCCGAGAACCTGGATACACAGCCAAGAATAGACCACACTTCCTACTCCTCCCCTGGCCTCCCACCGGTTTCCTCTGCTCTCTGGACCTGGTCTTTCCTCTGAAGAGCCAAGACCGAAGTCATAGGATTCAGCCTGCAGGTCAAGTTGGACACAGCTGCTGCAGGTGACAGAGAGGATCTGGCTGCGAGGAACTCCATTCCCATCCTCTCCAAGTAAGAAAGGCCACAGGGGGACCAGAGCCGCACAGTGCAGCGTTTGCCCCCGGGAGCCTCCTGCCACTGGCAGAGGCCAGAAGTCTCAGCACTTACCAAGCAAAGAGCTCCGCCGCCGGACCTGGTTAATCCATGCACTTGGGGTTGGGCCCCCCAGCGCCCTCCGGTTCAGCTCCTGGCCAATGGCCAGCACAGCTTGGTGCCTCAGCCCTGTAGGAAGGGAAGGAAACTGTTGCCGGGCCCGTGGGAAACCCCATTCCACCCCTTCGTCTTGTCACAAATGAAGAAACTGGCTCGGAGAGGGAAGTGTCTTGATCAGGAACATAAAGATTCCTAATAGGGACCCGAACTAGAGCCAGGTCAACTCCCAGTCCAGTGCTCACTACACTGCACCAGCCTGCCTCCAGGGCCCAGAAATCTGCCTTCCATCTGGGCTGGCTGGCCTGGTCTGCTTGGAGGCAAGGACCGTACTAGAGTTTCCTTCTTAAAAGAGAGAAGCTTTGTTCAAACCAGAAAAATCTTGCTACCGCAGGAGAATTGAAGATGCCAGCCCCTAAGGTCTGTGTTGCTGCTAGCAGCTAGGGTCTTTGCTCTTCTGCTGTCTTGTTCCCTTTTCTCTTTCCTCTCCCCAGCCACCTCTTTCCTGCCCATGTTCCAGGCCTCCCTGTACTGCTCGTTGGAGTCAAGGTTAGTCCTACCTCTACCACTGTGGCTAGGAACTTCCTGGTACCCTTGGGACAAGTCCTAGAGGAAGGCTAAATCAGGAAGAGTTCAAGGAAGACTGGAATTCTGGAGGGGAGACCAGAAATCACAGACTCTGGAAGGGTCTCCAGCCCAGTTCTTCCAGTGGGAAAACTGAGAGGCCCAGAAGGTACAAGACTTAGGTAGACTCACCCAATAAGAGGAGCTGGGATTAGAACCTGATACTTGCTCCACTAGCCCACAAGCCTGAGTGGTTGCCACCGCGAACGCCCTCCCCCTGGGGAGCTCACCCTTCATGTTGCGCACATGTCTGTAGGAGCTCCCAGCACACATCTTAAACGTTGCTTGGAGCATTGCTTCCTGGTGGCTGGTAGCGGTGCTGTTGCTGCTGCTGCTGCTGCTGCTGTTGCCTCTGTTCTCAAAGGTGGCTCCTTCTGTCCTTCCTGAGCCCCCAAGGTCTGCCTCTGGGTCCTGCAGCTGTGGCTGCAACCCTGTGTTCTGCGTCTTAAATGCTCCCAGCTGAAGGCTGTGCTTCATCACCGGGAGATAAAAAAGCCATCACTCACTGTGCAAAGGAAGGGGTCAAGGATAGAGGGATTACCTCACACTGCTACGTTGGCCATTTGTGGGGAGTGGAGGGAGTTAGAACAGTTCCCAGAAAGGAGGAGGGAAGTTGGCGCCAGACTCAGCGGATGGAGGGGAGAAGCCGCTGAGGTCTAGAAGAAAGCAGGCACCATCCCACAGTGGTTCTCAAGTGGCACTCGGGGTACTGTTTCAACAGATGTCTGGCCCTCATCCTCAGAAAATCCAGATTTAAGTAGTCTAGAATTAAGGCTCTGAAACCTGTACTTTTAAATAATTTCCAGTGCCAGGTCAGTGTGGCTCAGTGGCTGAGTGTCAACCCATGCACCAAGAGGTCACTGGTTGATTCCCAGTCAGGACATATGCCCAGGTTGTGGGCCAAATCCCCAGTCGGGGGCATGCAGGAGGTGGCCAAAGGATGTTCTCTCTCATTAATGTTTCTATCTCTCTCTCTTTCTCCCTTCCTCTCTCTTTAAAAACAATAAATAAAAAACTTTTTTTTTTAAATCCTCACCCGAGGACATTTTTTGATATTTTGTTCAGATAGAGTGGGAGGGGAGAGAGAGAGAGAGAAAACAAAACAAAAAACATCGATGCTAAAGGGACACATGGAGTGGCTGCCTCCCATACAACCCCAACCAGGGCCGGGGACAAACTGCCCTTAGCAGGAACCGAACCTGGGTCTCTCCAGACCGCAGGCTGACGCTCTAACTGCTGAGCCAAACCAGCCAGGGCAAGAAAAATCTTTTTTTTTTAAATAAAATCAAATTATAAAAAAATTCCCAGGTGATTGCCATACAGGTGTCCTGTGAACTGATACTGCTCTGGGAGACACCACCGGGGACGGTGCCCAGGGAGTACGCTACGAACTTAGTGGGTCAGAGCTGACAGAGGCCATCCAGCCCCTGGATAAGGAGCCCAAAATCCAGAGAGTGGAAATGACCTGTTCAAGGTCAAACATGTAGTCAGTGGCAGAGCTGGGACAACCCAAATCCTCTGACCTTCGGTCCTTCTTTGCACAGCTCTTCAACACATGTGTTTAACTGTTCAATTATTTACTCAGCAATTTATACAAACAGCTTCACTAAAACCCTGTTGTGCTGGCCTAAGGATAATACCTCAGGGCTGAGTCCTATAAGCTTCAAAGCAGGGGGTAGAACTGGCCAAAGACACAAGGAGAGGTCCCGGGCCTGGCCACACCCTGCACCCTTCCCCACACTCTCCCTGAGCGCCCAGATAGGGCAGGCTGTGCCGCAGGGCTTGGCATGAGGTGACAGGCTGAAAAGACGTGGTCCTGGAGTGCTCACCCCAGGCTGCACTCTGGGGGCCTGTCCTCTCATCAGAGACTCAGGCAGCCAGCCTCTCAGCTGTTCCACACATCACCCCACCCCCAGCCCAGGCCCTGGAGCGGGCGGGGGGGATTCCTGCCCAGCCTGCATGCTGCTCTCTGATGAAAATTTTCCACTTTAAGGTTGACCCTGAGGTTACTTTTAAGCCAGATTCACCTGGCAAGAATATTGGGAGGCAGAGAGTTCTGTCACCACTGTCCGGAGGCAGAGGGACAGCACAAAGAGCAGGGAGCGGCAGCAGGTTCCCACCACCCCTGCTGTCTCCCTCACTCCAGAAAGGATGGAAAGGAAGGACCTGCTTGGAGCCAGGCCTGGTGCCTGGAGCCCATACAGAACAGGGTGAGTTCCCCACCTCCATTTCAATCCCTGGTGAAGCAGTGGGAAGGGTTCAGCAACTCAGAGAGGTCCTTGTCCTGGGCTCAGTTCTCACCAGTGGCTGCCTGGAGGCCCGTGGCCCATTCCTCCAGGTCCACTGTGGCCCCTCCGCGTGCAGCCTTCCTTCTGGAATGACATGTTCCGTTGACTCACACCCTTACTGTCAGCACCCTTAGAGGGACATATCTCCGGCCCTGATTTGTGTAATGGTTGTGAGTTCCTGCGCATCTCTTCTGTGGGACTGTTTGTGCCCAAGCGGGTGCCTCCTCCTGCCATCCCAGCCCCCTCAGCCCCCGCACTCCAGGCAGGGCACAGAGCAGGCTCTTGCTCCTTCTCTACTGGGTGACCACTTGTGTGTGAAGGACAGACAACAGGGCAATAAAACCTAAAGAACATACCGAAAGTACTGTGAAAACTTGTAGTTAAAAATTTCCCACTTGCTAGACCTTGCCCTGGACCCTAAGAGGATTGCAGGAACTAGGTAGGAGGGAAGGAGACAGGCCTCAGCCAGAGCTGACCACCGCACTGTGCAAATAGAACTGCTCACCCCTCAGACATATGGCTAACCGCAGATATCGCTTCTGTACATGCTTGCTTGCTCGCAGACCCTTAGCCCGATTTCTTAGCAGGGGCTAAGAAAACCCACCCCCTGAGCTCGGGGCTGCTCTCTCCTCTGCGTAGGATGGGACAGTCGCCGTGTGGCTAATAAAGCTCTCTTAATTCGAACCCAGTTCGGAGTCTGAGTCTGGTCTGTCTCATTGGTCTACAACATTTGGAGGCCCCAACAAGATGGACAAACAAGGTCCCCCACTTTGGCGGGTTGACCTCCTCAGACTCCGGGAGACAGGCCCATCCCGGGAGCGGACGGGCGGTCTAGGGGAAGGCCCCCGAGAGACGTTCCTCCGCCCCGATGTCATTCTGCCCTGGAATTGTCTCTACTCCAAATTCCACCTAGAGAGCGTCTGGAAACCCTGGGCCCAGGCTCAGCAGACGGGACGTCCATCAGTAAGTCTGTTTCTGGAAACTCTGCAGAGTGAGGGGAAGTGGACCCGCTGGACGCAGCACATAGGTCCCGCCCCTGGGCCGAAGCGAGATGTCGCTCTTGGCCCCGGTTCGGTTTATCTCGCAACCCCTTTGTCTGTCTTATTCGTTTGTCCTTTTGTGTTTTGTGTTTCTGTGTTGTGCCGGCCTGTGTCCTTCAGAATGCGTCAGGGAACTTCAGGACCTAAGACCCCTCCTCAGCGTCTTCTTGACAACTTCTCAGATTTCTCCAAGTGCGCCGCAGGTCACAGCGTCACGGTGGCTCCTGGATCTCTGCACACTCTGTGCGAACTAGAGTGGCCCACTTTCCGGGTCGGGTGGCCCTCTTATGGCACTTTTGGTTTAGGCTATTTGTTTGTAGTTTGGGGCGTCATCTATGGGAATCCCGGACACCCGGACCAAATTCCCTATATTGATGTTTGGATTGACATAGCTACTGACAAGCCTAATGATATTAAGAAATGTTCATACCCTAATAGGAAGAAGATTTTAATTGCCCAGCCTTTGTAGAAGCCTCAGAAGCCCTCGGCTCCTGCTCCCTCCTGAAGGCTTTACCCTGTTCTATCAGGTCCCCCAGAAGACCCCTCACTGACCCTTTGGGGCCACCCCCTTATCAGCCTCTGCCACCTGCTGCTGCTGTTGCCCGAGAGGCTGAAGCCCTTCAGCCGCTCAGTTCTCCCCATACACGTGGCAGCACCCCTTCTAACCCTCCGCAGGCGCCAGACTCCTCGGCTGCCATCCTGCCCCTCTGTCAGGTTGCTCCACCACTGGGTGGAGACCAGAATCGGCCCTTCATGGTCTATGTCCCCTTCTTGACTAGCGACCTGTATAATTGGAAACAACAGAACCCCTCCTTCTCTGATAAACCCCAAGGTTTAATCTCTCTCCTAGAGACGGTCTTCCACGCCCATCAGCCCACTTGGGATGACTGTCAGCAATTGTTGCAGGTCCTGTTCACCTCCTAGGAGGGGGACAGGATCTATAGAGAGGCAGCAAAATCTGTCCTCGGGCCAGACGGCCAACCCCTCACAGATCCGGCCCAACTAGAGGCCCACCTCCCTACCCTCCGATCCGATTGGGACCCAAACACCGATCAAGGTAAGGAGGCTTCAACCCAGTATCACTGATCTACTTCGGGGCCTCCACAGAGCTGCCAAAAAGCCAACTCACCTGTCTAAGGTAAGCGAGACTGTTAGAACGCGGGGAGTCCCCAGCGGCCTTTCTTGAACGTCTCATGGAGGCTTATCGCCTCTTTGCTCCCGTAGACCCAGAGTCCCCTGAGAATAGACGGGCAATTAATATTGCCTTTGTCACCCAGTCGGCCCCAGACATTAGAAAGAAACTCCAGAAGTTAGAGGGTTTTGAAGGAAAGAATCCTAGTGAGTGAGTTGAAATAGCTCAGAGAGTATTTAACACCAGGGATGACCCAGAAACAGCTAATACCAAAAGAGTCACAAAGGTAGTCACAACCACTCTTCAAGAGAATCAGAAAGAGTAACGGGGAAATAGGCCTAAAAACACAGGACAAGCCCCACAGAAACCTCGGCCTCCTCTTCACCCTAACCAATGTGCCTACTGCAAAGAATATGGCCATTGGAAGAAAGACTGCCCTAAGACAGGGGACCAACGGAAACCTAAGGACCTCATCCTCCTGGAAGACACTGAATGAGGGGGCCGGGGCTCCTACAGATTAGGCCCTCGGGAGCCCAAGGTAACATCACAAGTTGGGGGCCGTCCTGTTGAATTCCTACTTGATACTGGAGCCACCTTTTCTGTTCTAAAGGAGACCACAGGGCCACTCTCATCTGAGAAAACGCCAATTGTAGGGGCGACAAGGAAGTCCAAATCCTACCCTTGGACTACAGCGAGGATAACTGACCTAGGCAAAGGAACTGTCACTCATTCCTTCCTAGTCATGCCGGATGGTCCCTCCCCCTCCTTGGCGAGATCTCCAGAAACTGCAGGCCACCATCTCCTTCAAGCAGGAGGGCTCCACCCTGCCCTGGGGGAACCGGCGGTTTCTCTCCTGCTCTCTGTGCCTCTGTCTGAGGAATACCTTCTGTTAGGAGAGCCCCCCAGAGAAATCCCAGATGCTCTCCTCGAGAGATGGAAAAACGAGATACCGGGGGTTTGGGCAGAAACTAAGCCCCCTGGCCTAGCAAAGCATCAGGCTCCAGTTATAGTACAACTAAGCAGCAATGCCTCCCCCATTGGGGTCCCCAATACCCCATCTCCATAAAGGCCAAGCTAGGAATAACCATGCA